CTCTGCTCCTTGTCCTGAGCTGTGGTTTACTATGGAGATTGCTAATATTCAAAACAAGAATAAAAAGCTAGCAGGAAATTATTAAATGGTTTTACAGAAATGCCAAGCTTAGGTCTTGTAATAATTCTCCCTCTTCCCCTTAGAATCCTACGAGCAGCTGTGTTCTTCCCTTTTTTTTCCGATTACGTTAACCACTGTGCTGTGCTCCAGAGGAAGTGGGAATGGTAATTTCTTTGCTCAGGAAGATGAAGTAAACTTAGCAGGAGCATTCTGTGATTGCTCAGCTGTGTAGTCTGATTGTCTTATGGTGACAGCTAGCATGGGGAGCAGAAAGGCTGTAGGAATGTCTCTTTAACGATCTGAAAAAAAAAGTAGTCTGGGCTTGTCATTGCCCTGATGAGTGTTTCATTAATACATAATCAATTTTCAGCCCTTGGAAAATTTGCTTAATACGAACTGACAGTTCAGCTTTGCAAACTAATCAACCTGCATCATCCCTGCCTCTGAGTTTTCTGGTATTTTAGGCTGGATCTGCAAATCCAGATCTGCTCAGCCCACCTTGTGCTTTAAGCATAGGGAGAAATTTCACATTACTCAAGGAGTTATTGTATAGTAGTGTGTCTGGCTCCTCACCTTGCAGTGACTAGTTGCAAAAGCTAGTTTAATCTGACAGTATAGGAGAAGGATGTACCACCCAGCAAAGGTTATAGTGAGAAACCTCATCCTGGATGGCAGGACAGCATGCGTGGTGGCATCATTGCATCTCCTACTTGATTAGTCAGGGCAGGCCTTGGATCTGAACGTGAGGGATGGACACATTTTTTCCTGAAGGATTTCTGCGGTCACAAATTCAGGATTTAACCCAGTTCTTAAATGAACACTTGCTCTTGAGAGTACATCTCTGCTTCCTAGGACACCAAGATGATTTATTTACCATCAGCATTGCCACTGAAAAGTCAGAGGTTTTCTGCAGCAGGATGGAATAGTTGAAAAGTAGGGCCATAGAAAATAGCTGTTAAAAAAGAACCAGCCATGATTGTTCCAGGACTTTGAAAAATCTTCAGAGCTTTTGCTATTCAGTCAAGAAGGCAGGTACTGATAGTCCTGTCTATTTTGTATAAATTTGGTTAATGAGTCTCAGATCAGCAATTAGTGGCTGTCACATCGCCAACAAAAAGAGAGTAATAATGACTGTGGATAGAGTAAGCAAGAAAGACAAGTCTTGAATGGATGGTTGAGTATGATTCTTTATTTTCCTCATTTCAGGCCACGCTGGAAGCACATTACTCAGGTGTTGAGGGCAAAACTTCCACCAGACATTGCATCTCTTTGATGCTTGCCCTCCCATTACATGTTTCTGGGATGCAGAAATAGGATAGCTCTTCCTAAATGCCAGCCTGGTAGTGCCTTTTTCATTTACAACAATGTCCTTTGGAAAGTTGCCAGTAGTTTCTTCTTATTTTAATTTTCCTGTTTTATACCTAAAAAAAAAATGTTTAGAGGAATTTCATTTGGAGACAACCCAAACATCCTACCGAAAAATACAATTAGCAATGCTTGTCGGATAGGTCAGCAACAGGAAAA